GTCTTAAACATTAGCAAAGGAGTTATACGTTTTTGGGACGAGGCTGAAGTTAGCTTCCGATTCGGCAAACGGCTAAAGGGACATTACACCCAATTTTTCTCTACTCTGACCATCTGTAATCTGCTCTAGCTGAAAAACGACAACACCCACACTCTTCAAACCTGTTGTAGGTTATGCTACAATAATAGCAGATTGCATAAAACCTTGTTTGGGATTTGTGAAACCTTTCCCTGATTTATGACACTTCAACAAAGCCTGATTTATGCATTTTTATCAGCATCTGGTCAACACTGGAGCAGCTGTAGCTCAGAAAACTACAACACCCACACTGTTCAAACTTGTTCTAGATTATTCTACTATAATAGCAGATCAAATAAAACACAGTGTAGGATTAGTTAAACCTTTCCCTGATTTGTGAAACTTCAACAAAGCCTGATTTATGCATGTTTTCAGCATCTGGCCAATACTGGAATAGGTGTAGCTCAAAAATTTCTGTTTGAGGTCATCATGGTCAGCCTTTGGCACCTTAGCTTCTGAAGAATAAATTAGACAAAGTCAACAGTTACATTCTCTGGGTGATCAGTAAGAATTTAACAAACAAATAACAGCTAAGTAACTTAGTATTCACAACAAATATTTCAACATGATAACAATCAGGCTAAACCACACAGTGACTGCCTTCATCATCATAAATTACTAACATGTTAACGTCTAGAAACAAATTGGGAGTTAATGCTATTGGCTGAGTTTTTTCCATAATAAAAATCAGCGAGCGTGTTAGTCACGGTTAGTTAAAGGTTCTTACCAAGACAAAGATCAGCACCAGGCTCTTTTCCACCATCGTTTGAAAAGAGGGAAGTGGGTGTAGATCTGCTGGGGGTTTCATCCCTTTGTCTTTTTCTTTTACATCTAAACACTCAGAAGAGAGCAAACATTTAGTAAATTAAAAAAGCTAAATTTACTCGGTTTATGACAGTTTTATTACATCCTCATTTCAACTCTGTACAAAATACACACCCAAACATCCCAACTCTCTTATCTGAGTTGTCTGTGTAGCATGTCTCAATCAGACAACAAAGCACAGCATGTCCTCATATTTACTGATCTAATTTTGCCTCGTTGTCTTTTCCAGCCTGGGTTGAATAGGGGAAGACAGATGGGACAAAGTCGGGACTCTCAAAAATTGTCAGACGCCTCTCCTGTACAAATGAAGACAATTCCAGTAATTTACTTTCATGACAGCACAACTCATGGTAGCCACAGGCCAGCTAGTGGGCCTAGCTTATAGCATTCGTTTCTACAAGTTTAGCAACACAAAGGAGCTAAAGTTTATCAAGGCGCTTTAACTTACAAGCTTTAGAGATTATCAAAAATAAAATAGAGGTATGGGTTTTCAACAATTGAGTTAATAAAATCTACGATGCTGATTAGCTTATATTGTTAGTGTTGTTAGCTTACCTGATATGAAGTGATCGCTGCAGATTAGAGCTTTTTTAATGATCTTCTCGTTCCAGTCGCTCCTTCTGATAGCTTGCAACCAAAGACGTCTTTTGTTTGCCTTGAAAGGGGTGCGAGTTGATGGACTTCTGTAGAACTTGCACGATTTGTTGGTTTTGTCAAAGCAATTGGTACAACCAACAGCACAAGATATGATTGTTGATCCTTTTCTGCAGCACACATGCGCATTACGGCAGGAGGTGACATGGACCGATAAGGGGTCTATTGGACAGTCCTATAGAGAAACCTTACATATACAAGCACGTGTACACACACAGGTGCTCACATGGTGCTCTCATCAGTATGGATGTGATACAGTGGGAACTCTGGAGATCGTTTGCTGATCTGATAGTATCTCCAAGATAAGGACTCCGATCAGAGAGCAGGGCACGGAGAGACAGTTTTGCGTATTTATTGACTGTAGAAGTATGGACCTCTATACATTTCTGTGGTTTTGTGTGGTCTGGAAAATAAATACAAATAATGATGTAAAAGGTCTGTACAAACTGTGACATAAAATATACAAGCATTAAAGGCCATGCCATAAACGAGCATATACCCAAATGATGCACATTCAAGGGCTACACAGAGTAATACTGTGGCTTCTAGCTTCAGAGGCTCTGACAAAGTATATGGTCTTCAGGGACCTCTGGTGGTCAAACCGAGGCACTGTGGTTGCAGGTACCACACTACTGAAGCATGCCTGTTATATCACTCCTTAATTGAACCAATGTCCTGGAGGGATATACATGGAGTAAACAAATGAACCAGTATTTAGCACACATAGCACAAATTAAGAGAAGTAAATTGCAGACTGCAAACGAGAATAGCAACTGATACCAATTAAACTGTAGGAACACTCCTTCTAAAAATAACCCAAAGAAAATGTCCAGACAGACACATAAAAAATACAGAATGAACTTATAGGCTATTTATGTAGTAGTAGAGGTGCTACAGTTAACATTAGTCATGAACGCACATGAGGCTGTCTGCCATCACCAACAGCTTGGACTACAGGAAGTGACATCACAAACTGGACCGCCAAAATAAGAGTGGGGTAACTTTACAAATGAAACTTCTATAGAACTGAAATAACCGTAACCCTTTCCGACAATGGACTTGGGCATTTTCAACACATGTCTTAAGGCTGTGGTTGGCACTGCATGCACTGTGATTTATTATTGTGGGATTGTTCAGTAAAGCAATGTTGATTTAATATTTCCTCATCAGGTTGACGCAGTGATAGTTTGCTCCTGTTGTATTGTTGTGTGTCCCTGTTTTTGTTTGTTTTTCTCTTTCTGCAGGTCTAGAAGCAGACTCTAGTTCATTATTGTTTGTTTTTGTGGGAATCAGGGAAAGGTTTCACCAATCGAAAGTTCGAAACAAGGTTTTATGCAATCTGCTATTATTGTAGAATAATCTACAACAGGTTTGAAGAGTGTGGGTGTTGTCGTTTTTCAGCTAGAGCAGATTACAGATGGTCAGAGTAGAGAAAAATTGGGTGTAATGGCACTTTAGCTGTTTCCCGAATAGGAAGCTGGAATCGGAAGCTAACTTCAGCCTCGTGTTTTTTTTTTTTTTTGGGGGGGGGGGGGGGGGGGGGGTCTCCTACTGTACTGATGCTAACCTAAATTTTGTTTTTGTCATTTGCAGGAACTTGCAGAATATGAGAAGAAGTCTGACCAAATAAAAGTCACTCAGAGAGGTAGGAGTGGGTAAAACAGTCATAAAAAGATTATTTGGTAATATTCTATTGGCACTTTAAGCCTTGTCACCAATATTATGTCGTTAGTTGTGAGTAGTAAAATGTGAGGATGTTACAAAGCACTGTACAAGGACAGTAAAACTGGATAATAAAACATTGAACACAAGGAGAGTTTATCGAATACAGCGATATTATGAAAAATCAGCTAATGTTATCAAAATCAGTCAGCTTAAACTAAGAAAAATTTGACAGAATAGAAAAAATAGTTAAATAATAAAAGCAAACTAAAAGTTTAACATACAATTAAAGGGACAAGGTTGGGTGAACAGGTAAGTTTTCAGATGATTTTTGAAAACCTTTGCAGAGTCTTGAGGATATTGATATTATGGGGATATTTGAGATATCAAAGAAAAAAACACATTTACAATTTACAGTAAGGGTCCCTTTATGAAAGAGACAATGTGTAGTGTTTACCGTTAATCTCTGGAAATATCCATCCAAATGTTGTTGAAAACGAATTAAATGATGCCCAGCTGTTGAAAAATATTGGCGGCTTTGTAGCATATAACCATAAAAATTGGGTCTAAAACACATGGGAGTGGGTCTAAGGGTGTTTCCTAATATCAAAGTGTCTTGCTTACAAGGTCACTGTGCTTTGGTCAAAAAAATGGTTAAATGGAACAGACCTACCTCACATGCAGAGCCGTGGTCACGTGACACGTAAGGGAAGGTTGTATTTTATACGTTAAAGTTTCAATATAGATGTGTAAGGAGACTTTTACTTTTTTATTTAGGTATATATCAGTTAAATCAAATGTGTAAGTGAGTTGGTACCTGCTAGAATAGAATAGAATAGACTTTATTAATCCCACTGTGGAGAAATTCACTCGCTACAGCAGCACAAACACTTAGAAAAAAGGAAGAAGAAAATTAATAACCAGTTTACAGGTAAACACACAAAGGCAGTAAGCTATTATTGTAACGTTCAGCCACTAAAAACAACAAATTAAAAGGAAACTTGGGTTTCCAGATCTATGCAGCAAAAGGGACTCATACTAATGTGCATCCGGTATTGCACAATATTCAACACATACTGAAAATTGCATATAACAATATTGCATTGCTAGCCACTGAATCTGCAACTACTGAGCAACTAACCAACCATAGATAACTGCTTTGGATCTAAAAAAAAACATTTTAGATGTCAGCCCCGGAGCTACAGTTAGTTGAGTTACATTTAAAGTGGAAAAATTCCCGTGAAGTAGCTGCTGCCGGCTCCTGATCCACCATCCTTTTGAAAATGCCGTGCTGTGTTCTGGGAAATCTTTGACCAAGGGAAGGCAAAAAGGCACCTCCCATCCTTGGTCAGTTAGTTAAACAGTAGACAAATATAGGACAGACGCCTCCGTAGCACATGAACATTGGAACATGCCTTGGGTTTTTTTTTGATGACGTATCTCTTAGGCAACTGGGGCGGGACCAAGGCATCGAGGCAAGGTTCCTTGAAATTTAGAAATACCCTGAAGCCTAATTTATACTCTATCTGCGTCAGGGCGGATGCACTCAACACCATTGTCCGTCCTTGTGAGCCTGCTGGAGAGCCCTTGCAAGGATGGATGGAGTCGAGCTCTCTTCTCTGAACATCTGTCCGACGAGACGGAGAACGCAAGCTTTTGTTTGGTCAGAACGCTGCTGTCGTCGACAGTGCCGCCAAAGCACTCTCAAAAACATAAAGACAGCCGAAGATATCTAGCGAAAGACGCGGAGAAGTTTGAACAATACTTAGCAGAAAAACTAAAAATATGAACGTTTTATTCCCGCGTGACTGGAGGAGTCACGGGGTAGATACGGGGTAAGTCTTTTTTTCATGGACGGAAATGATGGGAAACGTGGGTTTAGAGGTGGCGAGTGCATGAAGAGGTGGAGGAGAATGAGGGACACATTTGTCTGTGTTAAAAAGTCTCTGAAATGCAAAAAACACAATATAAATGTCATATTAAAGGCTCTAACTTAGACCGGAAACATGACAGGACACCCCAGAACAGCGCTATGCCCTCTGTTCTCCTGGCAGGGAGTTGCTTTGCAACGCTCCCCAGGAGACCGAGAAGTCTGAGAGCAAAACGTCTCCATCTGTGCGTGTCTCTCCCTCATGGAGCAGATGGAGAAGTTTAACATAGGCTTAAGTCTCACGGTGTGTTTTAGGAATGCGTCATGGCGGCATGGCGTTGCGGGAATTTGGTAATAATATTACTGCAACGCCTGACTTGTGAATGTATATCATGCCTTGGCGCAACAGAAGGAGGTGTCATGATCACATGGGGAGTTATTGTCAAGCTCCGGCAGGAAACTATATTGAAAATGAAAGTAAACACGGGCAGCAAGTTTTGCATTTTTAAACAAAACCAACTGAGATGATAAACTAGAGTGATGCAGAGCTCCAGGAGCTTCTTTCTGTGGAAGCTGGAGGTCAGATCAGCAGAGACTGCACCTTTAGGAGCGGCTTGCTAAAATATAAAAAAATGAGCGCGGCTTTGATCGCAGTAAAAAGCAAGTTATGTACAAGATAAATGAAAGTCCACGGCAGCTCAGAAACCGCCCCCACACCCCCTTTATGCCACCATCATGTAGTCTTTTGTAAAAAGGACAGGATGGTGCCACATAAGTCGCTCTGGAGTATGTCGCTCCCGAGTATAATGGGCCATTCCCATCTGTACCGGGTCGGCCCGGGCCGGGTAGCGTAGGTTGTTTACATATCTGGGTGGCCTGGTATTTTTCCGGGCCAACCAAGACTCATTCTCAGCCCTCTTCTCGAGGGGTACTGCTTCAGGCCGACCAGGGCCAACACACCCACTGCTGACAGCAAATTCACACCTTCCATTAGAGCAAGCCTCTGATTGGTGGGTAGAATCAGCCCACATGGGCTTAAGACAAGGATGTGTGGAATCAACCGGGCCAGGCTGGGGCCGACTGGGGCTACCCGGCCCGGGCCGACCCGGTACAGATGGGAATGGCCCATAAGTTGCACCAGCCATAAAATGTATAATGAAGAAGAACAAAACATATAAGTCGCATTTTGGGGGGAGATTTTATTATTTTTCTTATAAAATCTGAGACCAAACGTTTCACATTGCAAGACAAGTACCGGTAACAATAACAGAATAAACAATCAGGGCGCAGCAGCGCGCCACGGTCTCCAGCAGAGGATGGCGGTGTTTCAAACTCTCCCAGTGGGCAGGGAGAGCACCTGCAGCACCCCGCCACAGGCTGCAGCAGGTGATGGCGGTGTTTGAAGCCCTCCCAGCGTGGCGGAGGAGCTGAAACCTGGACCGGAGCCAGCCCGCAGCAGGGCGAACGGTCTCCAGCAGGTGATGGCGTGGCACGGGAGCTCATTCCTGGTCAGGAGCCGGCCCGCAGCAACACGGAATACATAATTTGGTATATAAGTCGCAGGACCAGCCAGACTATGAAAAAAAGTGTGACTTATAGTCCGGAAAATACGGTATAAATGACCATAGATGCTGGCTCTGCATTTCGGCAAATTGGCAGCATGTTTTCTAAGAGTCTTAAGAGATGGATTATGTGGGAATGGGAGGTGTCAGATTAAAGCTTTTCTAACCAAAAGCTAAAGCATTTGGATGCATTTCAGATGGTTTACATTTTTAATGATCTGTAATTTACAAAAACAGCTAAATTAGTTTGTCACTTTAAAATCTTAGTGATTATAACTTTTTTTGTCCTAATTTTCTTAAACCAGCTGAATTATGTAAAACACATCCATCCCATCTCCCACATGTCGGCTTCTCCGTTTTATTTTCAGACTTGGAGCAAGACGGCTTCTCCAAGAACCCGTTTTTTCACGGGATTGTTGCCGAGGTGTCAGATCAGCACAGAACCAAAGATGGTAAGTGAGATAAGTGACTAGCTGTTCTCATACTAATTCCACACTTTCACACTTTTCTCAAAATTTTTATCTTTTATTTACCTCTGGAATTTCAGAGTAATCTGTTCTGTTCTCCACCCATCATCCGAAACATTAGAAAACAAAAACACGTTACCTACTGAGGCAGTAGCCTGCTTATGCGTCCTCTCTCTGCTCACTTCTCACATAACACGGTTCAGCTTTTCCTCAGAGTGCAGTAAGGAGGTCATTAGCACATGCTGTGATGATGAACAGCCATTTTTCATCCCATGATGCAGACCTTCTACCGTACAGTCATCACTGACCAGCAGATGTCTGACTCCATATTGGGGAAAGGCTTCATGAGTGTGTGCATACAAATGCTTTTATGTATGGAACAATGCAGTTCTTTAAAGTGGAAATCCATTTTTTTGCTGACAGCACCTCCTAGGGGCTGACAAATGTATTGCACTTCATGTCAGTCTCCCTACTTTTGTATTTACGGCCAAAAGCAACACCCGTCGTTCATGAACGTACTTGCCAAGAGAGCTAAAACAAGTTGTTTTACAGTTTTTATTTTTACGTTGTACAGTTTTTTTTTCATATTTAAAGACTGCAGCCAACTCTATCTACATCATCTATTAAGGTAGCGCGACTCGTGTTGCGAATGACCGCAGTCACCAATTCTTGTCATGTGTCTTGCCCATGTATGTCTGATCTCTGAATTGTGTGTACTGAAACTCTTATTTCCCTCTGGGATGAATAAAGTTTTGATTGATTGATTGACCAGTAGGTCCGTGCTGAAAGGTGTAGCGTGCTCTGTGATTGACATTCATAGGTAAGCAGATGTCAAACACTATTGGCTAATGCTGGGTGGTGCTCAATTCAAATTGGGCTCCACAGGACGGGGACAGGCTTAGCAAAAATGACTTATTGATTATATTAAATCACAGTACAGGGTGAGACTATCACTTTTACTTATTTAAAAAATATATATGTAATTCTTGAAAGGGGAAAAACTCTGGATTGTAGCTTGAAGCTACAATGGCGAATCTGAAAAATAAGAGCATAAAACATTTTTTCATGCCTCTTTACAGCAGTCTAAAATAATTTAGCCATAAAAACATTTTTTTAAGTGATTCTCTTGCATTTGAATAAAAACTTCAGCCAATGAAATGGCTCAGTCCGAGCCAACAATCCACAAAAGAATAAAACTATTTGAAGTTGCAAAAAAACAAAAGATGCTTGGATGTAGAAAACTAATTGGTGTTTTGTGCTCTCTCGTGTACTGTGACAGTGTACCTTCCCAAATCAGTGAGGGGCATGTCTTATGGATGTTAACCAACAGGTAGGGTTGGATAGCGCCCTTAGTTTTGATACCCACATCAATGGAGTGATCTCCTCCTCCTTTTTCCACTTTCGTCAGTATACAAAGATCAAACCATTTTTGTCACGTCATGATCTTGAGACGGTAGTCCATGCTTTTATTACGGTGCGATTGGACTACTGTAACTCTGTTTTATTCGGTGTGAGCAAGGGCTCAATAGCCAGGTTGCAAATGGTGCAGAATGCTGCTGCCAGATTTCTAGAGGGCAGGCACAAGTATGACCACATAACTCCTGTCCTGGCTGAGCTTCATTGGCTGCCCGTTGATGTAAGGATTCGTTTTAAAATACTCTTATTGGTTTTTAAAACGTTAAATGGTTTGACCCCTCCTTACTTGGTGTCACTGCTTCAACCGTACACCCCTGCACGGTCACGCCGCTCGGAGAACCTCATGCTCCTCTCGGTACCAAGAATGCACCTAAAGAAACGTGGTGATGGGGCCTTTGCTGTGGCAGGTCCTAAGCTTTGGAACGAGCTTCCCCTCAGCATGAGGGCCTCCACCTCTGTAGCGGTTTTTAAGGCAAGGCTAAAAACCTACTTTTATGATCTCTTTTAACCTTTCTAACTAGTTTCTTTTGTTTTACTTATACCAATCTGTGTACTCACTGTATTTTTATCTGTATCTTGTGATACAATGTTTTTATGTTCTGGACTTAATGTTTTATGTTTTTACTTGATCAGTGTAGCGCCTTGGTGGCATCTTTTTGCCTGTAAGGCGCGATTTATAAATAAAGTTGAGTTGAGTTTAGTTTAGTTGCAACGATTATACATTTTGGTGGTACGATTATAGTTTGAGAACTAATCATGGTTTCACGATTATTTTACATGAATTGATTTCACATCTGTATTAACACACATCAATTGCACACATTGTATACATTATTGATAAAAGGCACGAATACATTCTATAAAGGTTATAATTGTTCCTTTTCAGAGATTTTGCACAGAAAAGTTCACTGCACTACTGATTTGCAACATTGATGTTTTATCTCCACAAATAACATAAACCTGGAGGAGTTCTGCTGTGTGGTGGAGTTGCTGATGCTAACAGCTAGCTTCTACTAGCTGAGACGGGCTCTGCTGTCAAGCAACAACAGCCTTCCCCGTCGAGAGTCAAGATAGATGAGTCCATGAACGTTCAGTGACAGTGTGACGTAGATCTGTCAGGATATTCTAATCCTAGAGTTTCACCGTCTGTTTTCTATCAGAAGCTACTGCAGGAGATAGGTGTAGGAGACTATTTTCATGTTCAGCCTGCATGAAAAACTCAAAGACTAATTATCAGAAATAATCAATATGATTTTTCTGTGAATCACACCTTTAATTATATTTGCCTAATAGCCCTTTTTGAGTTTCTGTAAAAAGACAAAACTGTTTAACTGTTGACAACAGATCAGGGTTAGCACTGAAGGATGGAGACACCTTAATGAATTAGGATGCTAACTTCCTACTAGTGCAGTTGGTATCATGAATATTACTTTTAATTAAATGTGATTTCTACTTGTTCATATCTTCCCAAATGTCATCTGTAAGAATATTGTTTGGACAAAGATAAATTATATTATTGCTATGTAGAACAGGAATTACAGAGAGGTGTCGTTGATTAAATATTAAAATGGCTTGCCTTACAGGCTTGTTGTAGACAGATACAGGGGAAACGTAGAACAACACTATATGAAACGTCGTTCACGGGATTGTTTTAATATTACTGTTAAATCTGTTCAGTCACTATGGTAATCTGACTCAGCTGGAGCTAATTTGTCTGCCTGATGATCTCTGATGATAAGTTGGGAGTGTCGTAACTTTTTTTCTGCCAGCTCTGCAGATAGACGAGACATCGTTCTGACTTTCTCTTTTAGCAGCTTTGGGAGTCTAAAATATCCCCTCACAGGGGACTTGAAGCACTTCCTAGGTGGAAACGGAGCAGTCCTGGTGGTTGTTGATGTTGGTTCTGCTGCGTGCGTTCGTTCGGTTTCACTTTGATCCACTAATGTTTTTTTGTGGTGTTGGAGATGTCTTGATGGTGGGTTAACCACAGCTTTTCACTCTGTGGTCAATAGTCAAATCAGTTAATTATTGCAACCCTACCGACAGGAGGGGTGAGAATCCCATGACCGTGGCTATAGTTTAGTAAATTTGCTATTACAGCTTTAATAAAATATTTTTGCTTAATACAAGCTAGTGGTACACCTAGTTATTCATTTCTATTTTTTGTCTTACTTTCAGGGCATACGAAGATCGGCTATGCACTTTATTTCTATTCCTACAGCTCATGGGCAGGCAGAGCTATTTATATGGAGGACCTGTACGTAATGCCAGAGTTCAGAGGTATACCAAACTGTCCTAAAGGAGGCATGCAGCAGTTATTTCTGCTTCTGTTTGTGCAGAAATGTAAACTATTTGTCTTTCAGGGAAGGGCATCGGAAAAGCTCTTATGAGCAAAGTGGCACAGGTGAGTGACAAGGGAGAAAGTTCCTGGAACATAACTTTGGCTGCATGCATCAGTAGAAATGTCCATCCTTCTTCTTCAGCCTAGTTTTAACGTCTTTTTCTGTCTTTTGGTGTCCTACAGCTGGGTTTAGCTGCTGGCTGCAACCAGCTCGACTTCACCGTCCTGGACTGGAACAAATCCTCTCTGGACTTTTACCTGAGCCAAGGCTGCTTTGATATTACTGCTACTGTGGGTTATCACTGCATGCGCTGTAAGGGAGAGGCACTGGAGCACCTGGCACAGCCTTAATCTAACTCTGGAATCATGAAACAACAAGGTCAACCAAAACAACGCAGGGACGGCGCACCACCTGGTGCCCTATTGCCAAAAGTGACCATAGTAGTTGCTATGCTAGTTGGCTATTTGCAAAACCTTTGCTCCTTAATCTATTCATTCATTATGCACCTGGTAAGGAAACAGCCATCCTAAAATTTAATTCTGACTCATATCTGAAACACTATAACATCGAGAATATTTTGTTTAATCCACAAGCATCTTTTTGGAGTAATAGAAAAGTTGTTTTAGTTAACAAGTTTTAGTTAGTTTATGTTATGTTTCTTTGATGGTCCTTGGCTGATAAATTCTTGGAAACAATATAACATAAAAGGTTAAATTACATATTTGCATTACATAGGTTTACTAAAGAAATATAAGCTAAAAAGGCAATGGATGTTTACAATAATCGGGAGTTTGACCATATCTAGCAAAAGGTGAGCGCCTGAAATAAACAAACAGAAAGCTTTAATGTTTCATTTATGAAAATCCCATTTGCTATTTGCCGTTAGCCAGCTAACCGAACTGCTAAGATTCCCAATTAATTACAGCTATGTCATTATTTATTTTACTATTGAAAAACACCCATTACCAGATTTACCGTTAGCAAGTTAGCCATGCAGGCTAACATTCGAAAGTGGTGGAAGTTAAGCAGTTTGATCTGTTCCCTAAACTTTAATTGTTTTTAATAAATACAATTTTTAAAAATCATCAAATTTACCTTAACAATTTAACCAGGCCTGCAAAAACCCTTGACTAAAGTCTGATTCATACTTCTGCGTTGGTGCAAGGGCTAGACGATGGGCTCACAGAGGGTGACGGAGACATGGCCAAAATTTTAAACATCCGTCAAAAATGACAGAGATTGCAAGATTGGTCAGGACTCCGCTTCCTGTGTATTTGTCACCAGCACCAGTGTAGCTCCATTAAAAATTAAACATATTTAACAACAGACTGAAGAACACATTGCGGAAAAAGTCCTAAAATATTCACATTTATTCACCCGTGAGTGAACAAGTACAAAATACGGAGCAAACGTGGATGAAAACGCCGGAAATATGGGTTTAGAGGTAGAGGTGGAGCATGAAAGACAAATTTGTCCGTTTTACAAAGTCTCTGAAATATATAAACACATTAGTAAATACACCATTGAGACTGGATACATGAGTGTTATGGTGGCAGGACACCACAGCAAAGCACTACGCCCTCTGTTGTCCTGGTGGGGAATTGCTTTACAGCGCTTCGCCAACTGAACAGAAGTACGAATGTGAAAACCTTTCCGACACTCCGTGTGCGTCTCTGTTGCAGAGCTCACGGAGAAGTTTAAATCAGGCTCTAGACCTAAAGCAATCAGTTCTGTTCAATTTTACTTTTTTATGTTGAAAATTCAAACACACCAGTTACTTAGCCTGGCCTGCCAGACTCGTCCTCTGTTCTAATGCTTCCCATAAAGAAGCATGGGGCTGGCTGGTCAGGCTAACTGCTACTACCGTTAGCTAGAATGCCAAATTTGCACAAATTACAGAAATTGAGCACTTTGATTCATTACTTACTACTACATTTGGGGTTATGATCATTAAAAAACCTAATGTGATGATAGCGAGCTAGCCAAACATGCCAAGGTTCCCACCCAGCAAAAAACAACAGTTTAAACCAGCAGACACATTTTTCATGTGTTTGCAGCCCGTGAAAAACTAGATTGTGTTACTTCCTAATCCTAACATGACCACCTGACAGAAGATTAATTCATTCTTTCATCTGCTTTTCATTATTGCATCCATGTCTACACATTGTGATTGTGGAAATGAGGACTTTATGAAACAGTGATCCACACACTTAGCACACACTGTATCCTATCACTGTGTGTTGGATGCAGTTTTGTGTATAGGAACAGGAAATATGCATCTAAAATATACTGTTACAGAAGCACAGGTTGGTTGTGTTTAATGTGTTTTGTGATGTACTAAGATGGCACATTTTCCATTTGTCTCAAATGTGAGCCTGAGAACAGTAAATAGGGTCTTTACAAAGGCCTTGATGTTACGTGTATAGAGAAAACCCTTTTCTATGTGTTTCATGTTTTAATTATCTCTGTTTGACCAAACGGTGGCAGCAGTTGTCAAGGATTAACTTATCAGTTTCCGGTTGGGGACTTGTGTTCTGATTTAATGCACATTACTGCTGTTGTTTTCTTTTTACTCTGCACCAGTTGGGCTCAACTAAAAGCCAGACCTTTGGACCAGTTCTTAGAAAAATTGATGAATCCCAAATTCAAAAGGAGAACAGTCCGTTCGGTGGAATTTGAAACTCTAAAGAAACTTTCACAACTCCGAAGCTTCTCATGAAAAAATGGAAGTGGCATTATTCTAGTCTGTACATTTATATTTAAAAAGGGAATATATTTTTATGTAGTTTTGTATCTTTAATGAAATCAAGGTGATTCTGGGTTGAGTTTATTTTATTTCTCTGTAAACAAAACACCCAAATAACCATTATAAAACTTTAGCAGATATCGTGTTCAGACCACCTCCGATGTGGAGAGCTGAATCTTTGTCATCATTCTCCGTTGACAAAGTTCAAGACCAAACGAGTCAATAAGAGTCTGAGGGAACATGAGGTGTTTATATCTGCTCTTGCACATCTTCCAGTCAGTGGGAGATCAGAGCTATACATTAATTTCCAGGCTGACTTTATCAAACCACTCCTAAAACTAGATTCTGGCTCTGGCCAAATCTGGCAGCAATAAATCTCAATATGAGACTATCACAGCAAAAACAGTTTTATATGGTTATTTATACTTTAGTGAACTTGATCTGTCTAGTTATCACCATGCAGTGCTACTCTGTATATGTAAATGAGACATCTATGTTGTGGATGCCGTGTGTTTGGACCTGGCCTTCATCAACCAAACATGTTCATGATGGGATCTGAGGTAATAATGTGTTAACATCATTGTGTTCATCGTCTGTAATTCTTGTCTAAAATGGTTGGAATAAGAGTAGGAACCGTGTCCATGGGGTGAGTTTAGAAGAGCTTCTTCACCACATTCAGCAACAGTAAAAAATGCAAAAATTGTAATTAATATGTTTTTGAAGTTTATAGTTTCATAGATTTAGAAACAAAGACAGTTTCATTGATTTTTGTCAATCTGCTGAGCCAAAAAAGGCTACTTCAAATCCAATCTAGAGCCTGTACATGTGTCAAACGTCAGTTTCATTCATGTGTAGTTGGTGATTTTTGGTTACCCACTTCTGTGATCCATAAATGTCAGTGGGCTAAGTGATAAAACTATACCATACTACAGATCCAAGTGTGTCTTTCTGTTTAAGATTTGAAAAAATCTGAGAGCAGACTAATGTGGTTATCAGTGTTTGAATTACAGGGGAGCTGAGGGGAGCCAGTCTCCCCAGAAGTCGTGATGGGCTCCCCTAGAAGCTCTCAACTGACACACCCAGGGTGAGCCAGAAAAAAACACCCAGTTTCAGTTTCTATATTACATTATTTAAATGGAATCTCGGCATACCGGGACTTCAGACGGAGAGCGCTGATTGTTGATTCGCTCCGGGCAGTTTTGTGCTGCACACGGCCACGGTAACATTCTCAAAGTGGCACGAATTAACACGAATGTGTCACGTTCACACTGTTACTTTTTGTCTTTTATTTGTGTCAAAACCCGTGCTCTGGTTACTTCACATCAGTGGTGCGGCCGCGCACTCCGCTGCTTTTGCAGTGGGCAGCTACCTTTGAACTGCTTAGTTCAAAAGTTACTGATGAGGTGAAAAAGTATGAAAGCCAGACAGCAGTTTGTCTGGAGAATTGAAAGGAGATGCAGGAAGATGAGAGATGGACAGGACAGAAAAAATAGTGAAAAAACAACAAAAAAGAAACATGCTTGAAAATGAAAAGATAGGTAGAACTATTCCCACTGTACCTTAAGCAATAATTTATAAGCATGTGATATTTATATATCTGATACAATTCAGATCACTTTCAAAACTCCATCCCACATCCAGGGCCGTTTCAAGGCTTTTGGGGGCCCAAGGCATCCCCCAAACCCTGTCACGCAGGGTTCCCCCAAACACCTCCAATTAACCCTGGTGGTTATGAACAGTAGTTTGAGACACAAATGGAAGCTCTGGAGCACATCTTCATCAATAAATCCTGGTCCAAGAATGATGTTAATTTACAGATATGTGGAGCAAACTGATTAAAATCAAGCTGTTCCTTTCAGTTATTATTTTGGCTATTTCATAACATAACTGTTTAACCAGTGTTTCATTTGAAAATCAAACATTCCCAGAATGCAAATACTGATGTCAAACCAAAGTCTACTAAAGGTAAAACATGCCGGAACACGCGGGGTGGGGGGTGGAGGGGGGGTTGACGAGTAATTAAAATTGCACCCACATTTTCTAAGTTAACACATCTCTTTTAACAACGGTAGATTTTGCATCTTTACTGTTCCCCTGCTTACATCTCAGGACCGATTTGGTCGCACCAAGGTCTTTCTACCAACCTCGTGCTCGGAGGTCATCATCTCCACCTGACATCTGGGATCCAACAGAGCGTCTCAATAGAGACTCAACAGAGGTAGACACTTCTGACAGATGGGGTCTGTATGCTGTTCTCTCTAAGAAACAACTTAGTTAGCTGCAAAACAACTTTTCCACCCAGAACGCATTTCTCTCTCTGAAAGAAATCTTCTGAGATTCATCCACACATCCAAACCCACACATTCCACTTTAGTTTCCATTCAGACACAGGGTTTGCTTTTAATACCAAGTTTTAATATCAAAGCTGTTATAAATTGTCATTTCTAAATTGTCATCTTTAAATTTGTTAGTAATAAATTCTTAACTTTTTAAACCTGACTCTTCTTTGAAATGAAACACAGAATGGTGTACCGTAAATCCTCTGATACAGGCCCAGGCCTGTATTTTACTCAAGCTCATCAAGCTCCGGGCCTTTATTGGAAGGAGGACCAGAATTAGAGGCAGGCCTCCATTTCTTTTTCAGCAAAATGAACTAATGGTTCGCTGGAGTTTTTGACGATTAAAATTGCGCCCACATTTTCTAAGTTAAACATATTTCTTTTAACAACGGTAGTTTCTGCTTGCCCCCCCCCCCCCCGCACAATGGACGCAAACTCACTGATGCTCCTGCAGCCTCTCAGAGTTCCTGCTGGTCTAAACATTGAAATAATTATTTCATTTTCTTTTCCTCACTTCTGATTACCTTCAATGGTGTCTGTTTATTGCAACCACCAGGTACAAAAGGGAAATTGTTTTTATTTGACTATTTTTCTGTCCCCTCTGTCTTCTTCCTGCATCTCTTCTCAATCCTAAAGAAAAACTGCTACCTGGCTTCATGTATATTCACCTTATGAGTTAACTTTGAACTGCAGTTCAAAAAGATCTACCGACCGCAAATATAGCGGAGTGTGCGCCGCGCACAGACTGCGCCGGTGCGGTGATGCCACCGGAGGACTAAATGGGTGATGTGCTCCGCAGCAGCGAAACGCATCAGGCACAGAGCTCTGCGCCTCTCAGCAAAAAATATTCCCCGGAGAGTCCACATAGATAATTTAATATAAGTAGAACCAGGATAGTTTTTGGGCTCCCCCTGGTTGTGGAAGTTGAGAGCTTCCAGGAGCTCCCTTTAGCTCACCCGTAATTCAAATCCTGCATATAGCACAAGTTTGTCACGTGAGTTGCCGGATCCTAGCAGATAGTTGCCGGAACGGTCCTTCCAAAATAAAATAGTTCCCGGATCTTGTTCCGGCAAGATCCTGCTCAAATTAAATGCTGTGTTTAACACAAGATAAACATAATTTCATAGCTGTCTTCCCGGTTTGAGCTTTTTGAATAATGACAGAAGGGGAAATCTCTATAAGAGAACCCAACAACAAACTAAAACAAAATATAAAAACAACTTTCAGTTTTCCACTTTCTGCGCGCCAACCGCACCGGTGAGATGAAATCACTGGAGGACAAAACAGGTGAAGCGCTCTGCTCCGCAGCGGCGAAATGCATCAGGCAGAAATAAAAGACAGAAATCATAAAACGAGAGGAGCCAACATAAACGATCGCGTGTTAAATTTGTTTTTGAGGTGGCGACACTTTGAGAATGTTACTGGCCGTGCTCAGGACACATCTGTCTGGAGCTCTAAATAATCCCTGGAGAATCCACACAGATAATGTAATATAAGTAGAACCAGGATCGTTTTTGGAGCGCCCCCTGGGTGTGTGAGTTGAGGGTTCCCAGGGAAACCTGCCATGATCCTTTCGGGTGAGCCGGTCTCCCGTTAGCTCACCCGAAACCTGCATATAGCACAAGTTGGTCGCGTGAGTTACCGTAACCTAGCAGACAGTTGCCAGAACGGTCCTTTCAAAACAAGACAGTTTCTGGATATTGTTCCGGCAAGATCTGGCTCTAATTAATCCCTGCATACCGGGTGCTGTAGCATGTTGCATCGTGGGGTAGCCTTGAGTGTATAAACAACGATTGCATTGTGTGTTGTGAGCTTATAAACCTGCAGAAAATGGTACACTCGTGTGAAGTGCTGCCATGTCAGGTCACACAATTACAAGAAGCAAAAACAGAGAGTGGCCCGCTGCAGCTTGTTCCTGATGAACCGGTCCAGGGTATAAGGAGCTGGGAGATCACTACACCTCGCTGGATGATTACTCACTTTGGGTAGCTCTTGCCATTCTAGAGAAACCACAGCCATAGTTAAAGTGTTTGGATATCAGTCTGTTAGTTTTATATTTGATTAATATTGTCTTACCCACTCCAGGAACTCTCACCACTAACCGACCCTGCAATAATCTGGATCTCCACCCCCACTCTAAGCCCTCTATCCTGAGCAACATCCCTGTCCTTCACCTTGCCCAGAATAACCGTTCTCTTTCTCAGCAGACCCCGTCTCGGAGCTGTGATCATTCTCGTCGCCACGTTTATTGGTGCACCTTCAGTTTCTTCCTATTGTAAATAAATAACTTATTTTTACTTACCTCTGTCTCCCACGAAGGATTCTGCATGTCTTGGGTTAGGAAACTCCCCATTAACATGACCCCTCTAAATCCGAGACCGTGGTCTTGAGTTGGAAAAGGGTAGAATGTCTTCCCCAGGTCATAGATGAGGTCCTGCCCCAAGTGGAGGAGCTTAAGTATCTCAGGGTCATGTTCATGAATGAGGGAAAGATAGAGCGCAAGATCCAGGCGTCTGTAGTGATGCGGGTGTTGTACCGGTCTGTTGTGGTGAAGAGAGAGTTGAGCAAGAAGGCAAAGCTCTCGATTTATCGGTCGATCTACGTTCCTACCCTCAACTATGGTCACAAGCTTTGGGTAGTGACCAGTAAAACAAGATTGTGGGTACAAGCGGCCGAAATGAGTTTTCTCCACAGGGTGTCTGGGCTCTCTCTTAAAGACAGGTTGAGAAGCTCCTCATCCGGGAGGGGCTTGGGGCAGACCCGCTGCTTCTCCACATCAAGAGGATCCAGTTGAGGTGGCTCGGGCATCTGGTCAGGATGCCTCCTAAACGCCTCCCTGGTGAGATTTTTCGGGCACGTTCAACTGGGAGGAGACACAACGGAAGACCCAGGACACGCTGAAGGAACTATGTCTCACGTCTGGCCATGGAACGCCTTCGAATTCTCCCGGAGGAGCTAGCCCAAGTGGCTGGGAAAAGGGAAGTCTGGGCCACTGTGCACTGGGCCAATTGTTTTATTGGGGTGGCGGAGTTATCGGACCAATGTGTTGAACAGTGGTCCACGAGAAAGCACACAAAATTTGGTGTAGTTCTATTTGCATAATGGAGATATAGCTAGTTGGATACATCTAGGGGGTGTTATATGAAATTACAAATAAATCGATCCATCCATTTTTCTGTATCCACGCAGGGTCACAGGACAAATAAATCCAATTTAGATGTTGGTATGTTGATGTTACGGACAGTGCCTTTTTGTTTAGGGAGCAGGACCTGTGGATCTCTAACCACTGCCCTCTCCTGTTTCCCTGAACAGGACATAGGCACCAAATAGGGGCTTCCACCACTCCTCCTCTTCTTTCTTTCAGCCATTGTAGCTGCACCGCTAATTGGCTCCTGAGCAGCATAAAAAGAAGAGCTACCAGCAGAAACTGAAATTACAGTCTGTAATTTTAAAACCCACTACGGGTAACAGTTGACAAAGACAACTTGTGTGCAGTTTTGTGCGAATTTTCTATGCTAGTGGTATTTATACCCAAGTGACTCTAAGGGGGTGGAGCTAAAGCAAAATCAACCAATGATCACATAAATGTGTT